TCCCATAGCTGCCGCGCTCTTCCGAGCAGGTGACTCATGCTGCAAAATGATAAGCAAAGACCACTACCGTTTACGCAGGGCCTACAGGCCGGCGCCTCCCCGACGTGCGGCACACACACGTACACACCCATAACGTGTGTGATACACACGCGTGCACACACACGCACCAACACACACACAGACCTGCACGGACACATCTATATACACATGCACATATACTCACACACACACATACACCCAACCACACACACACACACACACACGCATGCACGTACATAGCCCAAGTCCTGGCGAGCAGGTGTTGTCACCTGTTTCTTCATGGCCTTGGTGGTCACATGATTCACCTGATTTCACGCAGCAGAAGGGATCAGGAACTGGGCCGGACACTGCCGTTGGACCAGTGGGGGGGCAGTGCTGACCGTGGCCACGGGGCAGACGCTCTCACGGTACAGAAACGCCAGCCGCCGTGTCCTCTTCCCCCCAGCCCACCGTGTCAGCACAGACTGGGGACACCAGTCAGTCACAGTGCGTCTGGATCCTTCCAGCACTCAAGCTCTTGCCACAAGTCTTCCCCGTCACCAGATGGGAATCTGTCCCCCTCCTGGGACCCAAAACACTCTACCTCAGCTCCACAGGGACTCACATGGGGCTGCTGGGAGCACAGGTCCAGACCTGGCTGGAGAGTCCGTGGCTGCCTGCAAGGGCATCAGGGAGCTGGGCCTGCCTCACTGGGAAGCCTGTGGCGCCCAGCCCTGGCAGCTCCTGCCTACACCCGGGGGACTCCGAGCACACAGAGCACCGTGGCATTTCTTCCCCACGAAACAGCTCCTTTCCTCTCTTGGACTGGCCATGGCTTCGGATTTTCACCACGTACGTGGTCGCCTGAAGCCAATCACCACTCCTTTCACACTGGCCGCACAGCTCTGGCTTCGGCAGTGGGGGCTCCCAGCCCAGGTGCACACCTGGGGGAGCCTGGGGGACAGGCGACCCCACAGCAACGCAGCCCGAGGTCCGCCCAGGATCACAGCCGGGGCTCCCAGTCACTTGGTGTCCAGCATGGTGCACAGGTAGGGACAGCAAAACCACTGAGAAATGACCCCTGAGGCCAACAGCAGCTCCTGGGGGAGCCCCACGGCCACCTCGCACGCTCGTGCACAACAGGACGGTGGCCACCTAAAACTGCGTCAGGTGAGCGCATGCGGAAACTGGAACTCGTGTGTGTGGCGGGTGGGAACGCAAAACACAGGCGCTGTGGATAACAGCATGGTGGCTCCTCAGAAACTGAAACAGAATGACTGCGTGACCTAGCAACTCCAGGTCTGGGGAGAAACCCCAAAGCGCTGAACGCAGACACTTGCACACCGGTGTTCAAGGCAGCATGAGGCACAAAGCCAAAAGGCATGCGCGACCTGGAGACCATTCCCGTTCGCGAGGGGACGTGAGCCTCAGGAGGGCATTCTGACGCCTGCTACAACACGATGAGCTCTGGGGACGTCGTGCTGGTGAGGTAAGCCAGTTCTAAGAGGACATACACCGCCAGAGTCCTCTCACCTGAGGTCCCCGGGTGAGTCAGACGCAGAGACTGAAGGCAGGACGGCGGGGGAGAGGGGCTGGCCGGGGCTGGGGAGCCAGTGTTTAATGGGACAGAGTTTCAGTTTAGGAAGATTTGAAAAAGTTCTGGAGATGGGACAGCGGTGATGGTTGCTCAACAGTGTGAATGCACTTAAAAAGGTTAAAATGACAAATCTATGTTATGCATATTCTACCACAATGAAAGAAACTTTTAAAAAAGTTAAAAAAAGGCCTGACAAAGACGAGAAGGCAGCCTGGTCTGACGCCGCAGCGGGTGACCCCCAGCACAGTGAGCCCCCGCACGGTGAGCCCCCGTGGCCACCTCACTGTGGAGTCACCAGCAACCCGGCTCAGGGCCCTCTGCCCTGTGGGCCCTCCTCCTGACCCTCAGAGCCCAAGCCTGCCAGGGAGGGGGCATGCATGTGGCGCAGCCGGGGTGCCAGCCACCCGGGGCAGGACAGGGCAAGTCCCACCTGGGCAGGTGTGGTGTTAACCAATGTCACAGGCCACCAAAGTGGCTTCTCCTGCACCCCCAAAACAGACAGGCCGTGACCCAGCCACCCACCTGGTTTCTTTCCCTTCGACCACCTACCTGGAGGTACAGGTGTCTGGGAGACCGTTCCAGACCCTAACCTCTGTGGCCTGGTCAGACTGGTGGGCAAGTCCCAGGGTGTTGAAGTCACTCACCCCAACACTGGTTCAGAGCATCGCTGACACAGGCCTGTGCTGGGGGCTCGGGCTCCATGTGAGCAAGAGCCCTGCCTGGGGGGAGGGCACAGACCTCATGTCAGGGAGTTAAGTGTGGGCAGCCTGCTGGATGGACCTCTAGCCCAGCCGGCAGGGTCTGTGTATCAGTTACCTCCTGCTGTGTAACAAACACCCCAAAACTTAGTGGCTTAAAACAACTATCCTTTTACTGCTCATGGTCCTGCAGTTTGGGTGGGTCTCCCCCAGGGTTGCCCACGCTTACCCCACTCAGTTGCTGGTGCAGCTGACAGACTCTGCAGTCAGAAAGATGTGCAGTGTGCCCACCCCCACCCCCCCTCAGAACAGGACTGTGGGACTTTGTGCTCAACTCCAGAGCACACCAGCCCTGGGCCTGGGCAGGGCTGCAGCACACAGCACAGAGAGCACCTGCCTCCCCTTGCCCCAACCAAGGCAGCAGTGGCAGCTCTCCAAAGACAGCACGGCCCCCCCTGCCAGAGCCCACCCACTCCCTTCTCACCGGAGCACTTCCAGGGCCAACAAGAAGGGACAGGGCTTCCGACACTGCGCCTGCCGCCTACGGAGGTGCAGCAGGAAGAACCTGGCAGGTAGCATGCAGGGCCAAGGCCAGCCCAGTTCTGGAACTGCCCACCCAACGTGGGCACAGGGCCTGGGGGCTCAATCCCCAGTCATGGATCCACGCCCAGGGCTGGCACCAGGATGAAGTGGGCAGATACAGCGTCGACAGGACAGCGTGTTCGCTTTCCCTGTTTCGCCACCGCAGTGAGCCATCCTGGACGGGACAATCGGGTACTTCACACGGAAAAGTCCAGGACAGACGACTGTGAACTCGCGACGTCAAGTGACCACATACGCGTTTCTCTGGGGACTTTCTGGTGCGTTCTCCCTTCACCATCTGGTCACCTGCCCTTTGGCCCTTTCCGCAGGAGAGGTGGTGAAATCCAGCTGGCCTGCCGTTTTCGAGTGCGGCTCTGCTCCTCAGGCACACTGTCCTACGGCACCTACGACGCCCTGGCCGAGGCCGAGGGGACGACCCCAGGCACGTGGGGCCCGGGCGGCCTCGCAGTGATGGCTCACGGGCTGCTGTACCCGGCTCTGCTCCACCCCACATCCCCAGGCATTTCTAGAAGAGAAGAACCAAACACAGAGCAGAGAGACTCACAGATGTCAGTCCTGGACAAACTGCTCACGAAGGCAAAACAATGGTGAACACAGGTGACTGAGGGTAACTGAGGAGAGTGCCCTCGCACCTGGGGAGGAAGGGTTCTCCTCCCCAGACGACAACCACCACCACGAGGGTGGTAACAGGCCCACGTGAGATGAGGGCTGTTTGCTCATCAAGACGCCGCTGAGCGAAAAGACAAGGTGGGTGAATACGTGCGGTCCGTGTGACAGACAAAGGACTTGTAACCCGGACACACAGAACTCCAGTCACGGAAGACAGGCAACTGACAGGGAAATGGCCTGAGACTCCAACCGGCATTTCACCAGAGGGTCCCCAAAGGGCCAGGGAACATACAGAGAGGGGGTGGCCCTCAGCGGACACCAGGGAGAGGCAGAGGAAACCACGGAACTGCCATTCACACCCACCAGGGTGACGAGAGTGAAAAACAAAAGCCCGACAGACCCCAGGGCCGGACCCGGCACCCTGCTGGCCAGGGACACCGGCCGAGCAGACGTGCC